GTCCAGCGGCTAAGCGTTTTTATGCTGAATAGCAGTAGCCATGAAACATCTTTGAGAAATGAGCAAAAAACGACACCAAAACTTGACGCATGGCTAAAGGTGCAATGATCGAAAGCGAGTATCAGCTACTGCGTATGCTTTTGGTATCTGAGTTTGTATTACGAGATCCCGTCGCTCGCATCTACAGCATCTGTTTCCTGATAAAAGCTGATTTTTATCAATGATACACAATATCAGAAAGGATTAGCGGGATTGTCTTTACCAGAATCAAGCAGCCGGATTTTAGACTATAAAGAAAATGTGCATATGTTCATATGTTCCATTCTGGCATTTCCCTAGCACAAGCGCAAAAATACTTCAGAATTGCTAATTTTCAAATAAATTGCTCAACTCACAGTTAATTAACGGATAGGGATAGAACGGAGGAGACTTTCTATTCGCGAAACTTGTGATTTCCTCCAGAACAGTATAATACCCCCAAAGAATTCACCTAATAAAAATACTCCAAATTTGAGAGACAATCTCCCAACATGTCCAAGAACCACTGGTAGTCCGGGCATCAAGTTTCGGGATCGTTATTACAGCACAAATACCATTGCGGTAGTTCCTCCTGATATAAGGTCTCCATGCTCCGTGCAACATATTATCAAATCTGACTGCTGTACGTTCGCTGAACGCTTCCATTGTCCGTTTAGGAGCGCCATACGAATTTGCAAACAAAACAAAAACCAAGCAGGTCGACTAACTAGATTACTCTATCCAAAAGAGGTTCTTTGAATAGGACCGTAGGGCACAATTATTGGTCTTAGCGCATGCTAGTAAAGCCAGAAACACACCAAAAATTACTTCCCGCAGAGCAGAAAAAGCTTCCATGTGTCAGCCGGATTTTTTTTTATAAACCGAAGTATCCGCGCAGGCAGAAGCCTAAATGCTGGGACATTGCGGCTGCGATGATGATGCCAAAGAAATTTTTTAATACGGATTTTGAACTGCCTAAAGTTAGCAGAACTGGGAACAGCTTCCTCTTGTAGATTGTTCTCGACATCCTCGGGACAAAGGAGCGGTCGTATCGACCAGTTCTGGATGTACGAATTTCGACTCGGTTTGAATCGGACGCCAAAGTCAGGCGAGTTTGTCTGGCAGGCACATCGCGCGGCGGCATCATGGAAGAGAGCTCTGAGGTGCAAAGCCCGTTGGTGTAGCGGTAGAAAAGAGCTAGATCGCCGACGGCCCGCCGCGAAAGAGTCTCGAGGCTGTCTGTTAGAGAAGAGTCATCGATCAGTCGTACCGCCCTCCTCTGGACAGCATCGAGCATAAATAATGTAGTCGGGCCCCAAACGTATGAGAAATACTCGAGGCTAGGCCTTATCTGGGCCTTGTATAAGGTGAGAACGTCAGGCGGAGAAAAGTTCTTCTACTAAACAAATAGCCTAGCTGTTTCCCAGCAGCTGCCGCTATTGACGATATGTGTTCATGCCAGCCAACCGTATGAGCGCTAGGACGCTGTTTGCTCGTCAAAGTACAGTACTGTGTTTTGGAAGCATTAAACTGTACAAGATTGTTGCGTCCCCAAGCTGTGATATCCTCCAGGTCTCTCGTGAGAGAAGAGGTCGCCGCTGGTCTTCTTTTTTCCAGCCCAGCGGCAGAGATTGGCTTATAACTCTGAATTCCTGCATGTAGAGTCGTGTCATCAGCTAAGCTATGGTTTGGGTTGATCGTGCAGGAAAGGAAGTCGTTGATATGTAAGAGGAACACTGTCGGATCCCTGCGGAACACCCGCGTTGACGTCGTAGGATAAAGGGGAGAACCCGTTCATTACGACGGATATCTTGCGGCCAGAGATAAAGTCAGCCACCATGTGCAAAGCCTTTCCGGGAGTCCATAGGACGGAAGTTTGCGTAGGAGGGCAGCGTGCCACAGCTGATCGAACGCTTTCGTGATGTCAAGAGCAATGGCATGAGCCTCACCATGAGACTGGATGAGTTTACTCCACAATTGCGTGACGTTAGCTAGGATGTACCTGTGGATCGCTGGTGCCGGAAACCATACTGCCTGTCGCTAATGAAGATGTGACGTTCGAGGTAGTCCAGAAGCTCGCGACTTAAGGCGGCTCCGACGCAGAGTTTCAAGCCACTTACAAGGGTTCAGCTACTTCAAAACTGACACTCCATTTTTCAATATTTTTCAATGAAATTCATACACTATGTTGAGAAGATAATTGCCCAGGGTGCTATAGGAGCACTTTTTGAAATTTTGTTTTTGCACAAGTTTTATGATGGATTGAAGTGCGTACTTTTTCTGTTCAACTTTGCGATTTTTTTAAAAAGAACCTAGTGAAAAAAATGAAAAAGTGGCTCTATAGCACCCTGTGGGGTTTTGTTTTTAGCACTGTGAAAATTTCATCCAAAAACATCAAAAAATAAAGCGTCAATTTCGAAGCGTGCAAACCTCTACAAATCGTATTTTGGACGAATTTTGTCTACTGTTTCGTGCTGCCAACCCAAGCATTGCGGCGCAACGTACGGACTAAGAAAGGACGTATTCAGATAATTTGGTGGCCCTATTTCATATATACGTAATATCGCGTAGATAAGTCGTTCTGCAAATAGGTACTCATAATCGCGATCGCTGATACTGCTCGATTTTAAAGCCGTTTTACTTCCCACGTCATTGGCGAGGAAGTATTGTAATCGCGAAAAATTTCTAAAATGAGATATGTTTTTTAAATGATATGACATCTAAATCACGAAAAACTGTATCACTCATCAACTTGGAAATAACCGCACGGACTTTTATGAAATTTTCATACGGAGTTACTAGTATGCCAAAGCTTTGTAGTTTTAGTCTAGTGGCAACGGTGCTATAGGCAAAAAAGAAAAAGTAACAATTGCTTAAACTCCGTTTTTGACATTGCAGGGGTTCCTTATCATTGACAGAAAAAAATTGTACTGCTTAAAAAGTGGGGGTTTGGGGAAAATGATTCTGAATGTTGCGTCTTTGATATCAGTGAAACACGTTCTATTATTAGGAAGCTTCTGATCCCAGTGATTATAGGAAATTTAAGTAACGTAAATCCGACGAATAATGTGCTCATGATTTGAAAAAATCGGTAGTAGCGAAGAATGAATTCGGATATCACTCCAGTCAAGTATAAGGGAATTTAGCGTGGAACTTTAAAATTATCGATATGTCAAGGAAATATGTTTTTGAGAAGGATAATTTGGTAGATTTTATACCTGCATTTTCATTTGATTTTCATGAGCCATGAAATGTACCCATTTCGCCGTTACGTGTTCTGAAGTTTGTGATGTTTTTCTGGATATAAGCAGAACATAATTGCCTAAGGTGCTATCAGAGCGTTTTACAAAATTTTGTCTTTGCGCAAGAATTATGGTGGGTTGAAATGCTTACTATCGAATTTGTGCTCAACTTCTTGATATTTTAAAAAGATCGTTAGCACCATGTGGACTTTGTTTTTAGCACGCTGCAAGAGTTTCATTTGGAAAAAATAAAAAATAAAGCGTAAGCTGTGAAGTGCAAATCGGTTTTTGTGCGAAATTCGTCTACTGTTTCGTCCTGCCAGTCCAAGCGACGCGACGGTGCGTTCCGACTAAGAAAAAATGTATTCAAATAATTTGATATCTTTCCTAAAATAAATTCAAGAACTCAAATTACAATTCGTTTATTCATGTCAGTAAACACAATTATGTTTACAAGGGTCATGTGGTACAATTGAATGAGAGTCATAACAATATCTTATGCCACCAAAATGTAAGGAAATAGGTAGGTAGTTTTTGCAAAGCAATAAACAGGTGGGCTTATACCTGGATTAAGTACATTTCTTGTCTACTGTATAGGTAGATGGTGGCGATGCTGCCAGAAATGTATGTGTGAGATCAATAAACAAACCACAAGACCTGCGGTGTCCAGTGATTTTTGTATTGCCTTTTTTATTGCGTTACTAGAAAACTCTGTTGGGTATATGGTGGAGTTTACTAGAACTTTACAGCTTGTTGTCTGCCTTCTACAAACTTCACCAAATCGAAACGCTGTCCACCTTATCCTCCGATGAAGGCGCGACAAAGTAAAGTCCTGTGATTTGGTGACTTGTTCGATCTGCAAAATCTCGTCGTTACTTTTTTCAAGTTTCCCTAAAAATTTTCGCTTAGCAACCTCCAAATCAATGTCGTTAATATCAGGTTTTTGATTTTATTCGCCATAAAACTATTCATTTTCTTTGGAATTGCTATCCGAATTGTTAGTTATTTTTGTATCAGCTTTTTTTGGTCTGAGTTTCTTTTCAAGATTCTTGCGTTTGAGTCTTTGTTCCATCTTAGCGATAAGCGAGGTTGGACTAAACTTAGAACGCAAATGTATTTAGACCACATATACTGGCCGCTGGGTATTGTGGCTCACTACAGCTGCAGCACATCTTCCATGGTATGATCTCTTCTTGCAATAATTTATTCGGTTACCCCAATGAATTTTGCTCCACACTATTGTTGACATCATTAATTAAACTCACTGCATTCTTAATTAAAATGGTCGCATAGGACCCTTTATTTTCCATTATCAGACTTGATAAAAAAGGCACTCACACCAACAACAATTCAACAACACAATATCGACGAACAGTAACAAGGGGAAACAATACTAAATGATCACTTGCTGAGTACTAAAATAAGAAACAATTTACTTCTAGATCGCTAATCGAAATCCGACTCTGTTATTATAAAAATGTACCTTGGTATGCACCCGCAGTCATCCTTTCCTCTTTTAAAGTAACGCCGACGACCGTCTAGGGCCAGCCCACCCTCGTTTCCGTTCGTTGCGCTTCATTATATTTGTTTCTGGACTCGACGTCGACTTGTCTGTTTATTGTTCAAATAATCTCTCCACTTCGACGCAAAAGTATACCCCATTGCTGATTATGCATACTCATCGTCGATTGTGGTTCAATATGTCTGCTGGTAAACTTGCAAGCTAACACGTATAAAGCCTTTGAAGGTGGTCACTCGTGACATATATTATCAGACTCCTTCTAAAGCACATACACATCTGTGATTTTTCGTCTTAATGAATATCATCTCTAAAGTCTTTGGCCATTGTACAAACTCATTTGAATGGCGACGCCTCATAGACCACGGAGAATATAGATGTTGTTGATTTCCACCGCGCTCTCTACCAGTATAGCACTGCATATACAGGATGCTCAAAACAGCGGATACGGCAAATAATCCCTAAAACCATGATACTAAATGAAATTATACCTAAGCAAAGGTGTCCGGTATTTGTCTATCTGACAGTGACCTCAACACTATTTTTGAAAGTGGGAGAACATTTTTTTAAATCCATGGTATTCGAGGCTATTTTATCGATTAGACGTTGGCCTTAACCATGACCTCCGAAGTCAATTTTTTGTATGTCAACGACTTGCCTAAGCGTATTCAGGATCTCATTTGAAAATGGAGTTCACCTTCATATACTCTTGAACGTTAAAGTCTAGGTCAAATTCAAGGTCACTGTCAGATCGACTATCCCTATCCATGAGTATATTTGCCTTTGGATATTATTTATCAATTAAGTATGATTTATTGGCTAGATATTATTTATTGATTGGATATTTGACCATGACCTTGAAAGGCCAGATCGTGAATAGACCAATAGTTTTCGAGTTTTTTGACCGTGTATAGTCTCCATTCCTCACAAATATTCCAGGCCGCGCCTCGCACTGTGATCAAAATTAAATTGTAAATTCAGACCAGCCAAAATTATTTCAGTATACAAAACCGATCAAAATTATTTTTTGGAATTACAAAATAATTCGACTAGTCAAAGCAATAATGCTTAAGTTATTTCAAATGATTTAATTCTTTTCTTTGCTCTATTTCTTACTTCCTTTCTTTCCTTCTTCCCCTTTTCCCCTTAAACATGTTTGGTATCTGGGTAGCCAGACCTGACAGACTAACAGACCGACGAGACTTTTAACTACGAGCAAAGGTCCACCGGACCGCTCTGACGAATAATGACCAATAGCAGTAGTAGTCTCCATTCCTAATCAACAAAAGTACCAAAATAACTAATTTCGTATAGGTCTTGATTTGGTGCTGCAAAATTAAGAAAAACAGCATTACCTCTCATCGTGATCTAAAAACCAACGTTTTTTCATTGTGCATGCCTCTGTGTGGTGTTTCATCAAATAATTGCGATTGTGCTGCATTGTTCGGACGTCACACATGACGTTCCTTTCATGATAATATCCTAGTGTGACACGGTATAGTGTGTGCAGCCTTTAGAAGTAGCGCGAAACTTCGATCGATCTTAAATATTCACCCACCCTTGACTGAATATTGCCTCTAGGGAGCTTCGTGATTATAAAAGGCCATTTGGCGGGATCGCCTATATGATAATCACGTCCCGATTCTCATTAATTCATGAATTTTCCCTCGAGCTTGCAGTCAGAAGGGAGACGTATCTTGATGAATATGAGGGAGCCGGTTGTATTTTGTTATAATGGATATATTGAGGAGGCAATCATTTTTTTACCTGTTGTCTTTTTTGCGAATAAATCAATAAGGTAATGTAATAAGCTCATATAAAACAGTTATTACAGATCTCCTTTACAAAGATAAAAATACCTTAAGAATACTACTGGAAATGTTTTATGTGACCTTTTAATGTCACTATACAACTCAACGAAGCTTTGACCGGATATTAACGGATTACTGCCGGATATCAAGGTGTCCGTGAAAGTTTTTCTCCAATTTCTTACACTCTGTTGCCTTCAAAATGATATTTTTGGGAAAGCTAATTCTTCAGTTATTTGTGTCTAACTCCTAAGAGAAGGCAGCAATCTACATATATGGGTAATTAGCATTTTTGTTGGGCTAACCTAACCAAAAAAATATATGCAGAGTATGACTCGAGTGAATGATCTCTATCTAATACTGAATTAATTGTTTATTGTTATCACTTAAGGTTATCGTGGACCAAGCCAGTTGACCAATGGCGTTTTAACCTGTTTACTGGCTCATTATTAGACACATACACCCTTGACCGAAAGTACAACCAAAGAGTAGTTATATGTATAAAGAGAAGCCAGGCAAGGTAAATAATATTAGAGAGAGATAAGGGATGACTACAAAAGCATGGCATCCACAAAACAGCTGATGGCGTCTATACCCCATTCGTAGTCCATTTACGCCCAGACAAAACACAACATGCCCAAAAGCGAGATTGTACAGGTCCGTATTTTCCTCAATGGTCTTGGAATAATTTAACAAAATAAATGATTATTTTATAGAAAGAAGTGCACATACCAATGGTTAATATTAATTATTACAGGTTCAATTTGAATATCAGTCATATTGCCCAGATTCCACATCTTTGTTTCGATTGTCTCTTGAACATGATGGATGCAATCTTTCCAATGGTTTGCCATCACACTGTTGTTCATAAAACAAATTTTTCACGTCAGAACATTTGAATGTTCTATTGTTTGAAGCCACATATTTTTTGATATTTCCCCAAATCATTTCAATGGGATTTAATTCACAGTGATAAGGGGTAGCCTTAAAACGGTCCTATTTTGGTTTTTAGCCATTTCGTCAATAATATTAAGATTATATTGATATTTGTGCTGCCTGGCCATATTTCATTGAAACTAATGTCTTTTGATACGAGCCATTGCTGAATTTCTGCCCTTTTTGTGAACATTGTAGGAATTTTTTCTAGTTTTCTAGTGTGGTATAAAGCAGTATCGAGTACAATAATTACGGCATTGTCATCAAGCTTTGGGAGCGTGTCTTCAAACGATCGTTCAAATGAACTTCCGTCCATTTCTTCATGGTAGTAGCACAAAGCCATCTTCTCTGCCAATGTGAAAGTTAACAAATCGTTTTCCTTTTCCTGGAAATAATTATTTCATATAGCATTCAAGAAAACTAATAATAATACAAGCAGAATATCTAATAGGTGTTGGTTGCAAATCTACCATATATAGCTAAGTTTGGTGTAGCTGGGTTTTCAACGTTTCAGTCTACTTGACTTCATTTTTACAACACAAATGAAAAATTGATTAGATACACGTACCTGACGGATTCTTTAGGCCATTTTTTAGTCCATCTAAGAAGGCTTGTCACTTTTCTTGATGATTTAATTGTAGAGTTAGCCCATACCTTAGGTTTCATTCAAGTAATAAATTTTCCTGCCCTGGTCGCCATATTTCTCTATTGATTTCAAATAATTCCTTCTCCATATAATAATCTCTTGTCTGTTCATCAAAATACTGTTTCTGTCCCGTTTCCTATACCCAAAATGAAGTTCTTTGAGTAAACTATAGAATGGGATCCTTTTGAAAGAAATTAGGTCTCCATCACTATTAACCTCCTGTAATACTTTGTCTATGGTGGAAAGTTCCTGCGTTTCAAATAAGTTATAAACTGTATCCAACAGCTTCGTGTAATGCAGCCTCTTGTGTGGTGGAGTCATTTTTTTAATATTCTTTAACAATGTTGAAAATTGTCCTAGGACATAAGCCTGTTTTGTTCACCACACGTCTTTCAATATCATGAATTTTCAGCAACTGCCGGCGTCGGCGTGCCGGGGATACCCCGAGCCTGAGTTCTATCCTGCGAATCCTGTACTTGTTCGTAGTTTAATGACCGAATGACCAATAGCTATTGCAAAGCTTAGGCGGCTGCCGCTTTGCCGCGCTGCATCTTTGTTGTGCCGGGGAGTAAATGGTTTACGAATACAGTATTAAGGTTATTATTATTTAGCCGGAAATGAATGCGTTGTTGTCAGATAAATAATCATTGTGGATAAATTCAAATAACAACATTTGTAGCGAACGCATTTTCTTTTCAGAGCTACTTTTGTTTGGATATTTCTTCTACGAAATATATTCAACACAGTTATAAATCACAATTCTTGCAAGAAAAGCTATTATCAAAACCTATAAATTAGCTATTTAACTTCTGGGGTCCTACACGGAAATACGTACGTCAGCTTGAAATGCAAAAGCCCCAAACTGCTTATTTGACCAATCGTCGGTCTATTTGGCTGGGTCATGAGTTATCTTGACAGCCTGGCCTTTAGACGATATGTTTATTTATTCCCCAGCGATTTTTGACGTAACCATCAAAACTCGTGAAAAAAGCCGAACTCCTTTCTGCTTAGTATAAATGTAGCGTCTTATAAGTATTTTATGGCAACTTGGCAACACGGACTTCCGAACAATAGGAATAGATGGCCTCTTAGCTTTTTCACTGAAGCTGTTCGGACTCAAAACATCCACGTACAGAAGTTGCTTGATTCATCAACACAGCTACCAGCGCCGACAATACAGTCCGACCCTGTACCGCTGTGTCTGTTGCTGCTTCTGGCTGAACCGAGCGGGTCGACAGCTCGAGTCATATTGGTGCTAACTCTGCTAAAATCTGTGCTGCGGTGCGTGCCCGTAAAATCCACTCGTCTGACCAATATCAGCCAGAGTGATTCTGCTGGTCCTATTAATCCAGGACTATTAGACGAAAAGAAGGCCAATCTGCTGAAAAAATCCCACCTGGCTGAATTCTTAACCAGAGATTCTTTTCAACATTATAAATCCAGCGTGTTGGCCAGCGGATTGGCCAACGTGTAGAGGAAGGAGCCTTTCAGGAGAGTGAGTGTTTGGCCAGCAATTATGTAGAAATTTCCTCTATACGTATGGCATTATCGTGTCTGGGCATTTTAGGCTCTCTTACTTCAAGAAATATATTCGATTTGTTGGTTTCTCAGCTTAAAATGCTTGTCAGTTCCACAAAGAGATATATGTATAATAGGATTAACATAAATTGATTTCTGAGTATAAAAAAATTCCAATTTCCTGCCTTTCTATCGTTCATATCCTGAATATGGACATACGAATCGAGCGACCCGCACTCCGACTTGAATTTTAAGTGGAAAGCTTCACGGTTCTCCCTGGATGCTGAATGGTGTCGCAGATATATGCGAGATACAGACGAGAAGTAAGGAATCTGAGGAATTTGGATGGAAGTGAGAATAAGCACACAGGGTGTGACAGCCTCAACACACATTATTCAAAGTTATAGATTTTCACATCCTAAGATGAATGTCACACATTTTGAGTGAAAACCGTTGTGTAATGAAGTCAAGGAAGCGTTATGTATGAACGTAAATTTCATCACAAATTAAAATATGACCAGTTTTTGATTTTTCAGCATAGTCATCATAAACATTTAAATATTTATCAATTGGTGGTACCAGGTTTGGGATCCAGTCGTCAGAGAACGCCGTCTAGCCGTTACTAGTTAGTAAGTGTTTCCTTCAACATGCCATCGTTTTCTAAGCGCTTTCCACGACGAAATTTCTTGACTTTTGGAAAAAGATAAAATTCTGACGGTGCTAAGTCAGGGTTGTATGGTGGATGATCCAGTAATTCCCAACGAACCCTGTACAGATTCAGTTGCGTCTGTGTTCTCGCAGCAAGGTGAGCCCAACCATTGCCATGAAGCAGATGCTAAAGGGCAGTCCCGTCCATGGTTTTGAATAGCGAGTCTAAGCTTCAATAATCACTGGTGAACAAATTTCAACTTTTTGTATCCCGAATGGCAATCAATTATTGCTGTTGTTTAGCTCATATTTACTCCTAAAATGGCCAATAAAATATTTTGTTTGCTCGAGAAAATAAAACAAGTCATAGCTTGTTTAATAGACTTTATTTAATAATAACTTACGAAAAAAACTATCTAAGAGAGGAAAACATATTTACTACAGTAATATGGGTCAAAAAATTTGAAAACATAACTGTTAGAGTTCAAAAATATAAAATAAAAAAACAAAATTCACAACTATCAACTTTTTTTAAGTCTTTTAGCATTCTTCTTGGTCCATTGATTCCCAAAGTGGTCTATATCGACCCCTAGGGGTCTACACAACCTGCAAGGGGTCTACGTCAGCGAAAAAAAATTTGGGGGTTCATGAAATGAATATGGGGGTCCACGATAGTGGATCTCAACACATACACTGATGGTACCTATTTACTTACATCATACTATCTTATAATATCAAAACATATACATTATTTATAAAAGTATCTATGAAGTAAACAATTTATTATATATGTTTATAAAATTGTGTAAGTTGTAGGATGTTGGTGTTCGCTTTGTGGTCACAATATATTTTGAACTTGTAAAAACCTGAGAGTCGCAGTCTCAGGGCTTCGCTACCTTGCACTGACTATGAATACGAATGTGGGACAAATACGTTTATTCGTTTCCTGAATCTTGAAAAGGCAAGAGCTAAGAAAATATTTTAAAAAATATAAACAGATAGTATATCACACAAATTATAGTGAGTCAGTGTTATTTGGTTAGAGAGTGCTGGAGAAAAGTAAGTACATTATTTTTTTTTAAATTTTAGTTTTGTACTCGTAGCTAGCAAAGATAGATAAATTACGCCAATCATGACTTTAGTTATTAGTAGTTTAATATTCAATCATGCAAAATTACACGAGTACTCCTCAATAGTTTATTTTTGAAAGTTTTAGCAATCGGTAATATAATTACAGTGCAATCTCCGTAATTCGAGCTAATTGTTGCAAGAAGATGTTCGAATTATGGAATGTTTTCGGAAAAATCAAAAAATACTTTTAATATACAGCTGCTGGATTTTCTGTCTTATTTAAATAATTTAATTTTGCCCACAGATGACTGATGCCATGTCCGAATCTAAAAAGAAGTGTAGACAGTACAGTGTTGATTATTTGAAATTTGGCTTCATTCCATCATTACCGGACAAACAATCGCCTATGTGCCTTTTATGCAACAAAGTTTTGGGCAATGACGCTATGAAACCATCTAAGCTGCGAGATCATCTGAGAAGATGCCACCCTGATAAAACAAAGAAAGATTTGGAATACTTTCAAACACTCAAAGATAAATTTCAGAAGAGACCTACACTGGACAGAATGTTCGCTTCGACGTCACAAAGGGCGTCTTACAATACCTCGTTACATATAGCAAAATCCGGAAAACCGCATACTATCGAAGTTAATTTTGCCAGCCGTTGAAGAGTTTTTAAAAACTTTTACACAAACCTGCATCTGATATCATTAAAAGAATTCCCTTAAGCAACAATACTATTGAAAGACGTATTGATGAAATGAGTTCTGATAATGAAAGCTTCTTATGTAATTTCTCTATACAACTGGACGAGTCAACTTTACCTGATAATGCAGCATTATTATTGGCATATGTTCGTTTTATTATGAATCAAGAAATCTACGAAGAACTGCTCTTCGCAAGAACTTTGATAACCGACACTAAAGGTGAATCAATATTTCATGTTTTGAAGGATTACTTCATTGAAAAAACAATTCCTTTATCAAATATAATATCAGTAGCTACAGATGGAGCACCTGCCATGGTTGGACGTTATCGTGGATTTATAAGCTATTTAAAACAAGATGCGTCAGGGGTGTTAGCAATACATTGCGTCATCCATCGACAACATTTAGTTGCTAAAAATTTGAGTGTTAGATCATGAATGAATGAATCACTTCATTTAGTCATTGATGCAATAAACCGAATCCGAAGCAACGCGTTGAATACGCGGTTATTTGCGCAGTTGTGTGAAGAAAATGACGAACACTCATCAATTACTCCTTCACACTGAAGTACGCTGGCTGTCGAAAGGCTTATGTTTGACAAGATTTTTTGCACTTTTTGAGACTACTTTCGAATTTATGGATGCTAAAGATAAAATTTTAAAATAAAATTTAATGAAGAGGAAAACAGACATCGCCTATTTAACAGATTTGTTTACAAAATTTAATATGGTTAATTTGCAATTACAAGGCGACAGTTTAAAGTTGATTAAAACAAAGTCCATCTTATCAGCGTTTCTTGCCAGAGTTAAACTATTGAAGCAAAATATTGGACGGGCGAATTTTCTCAGTTCCCCAATTTGTCACAGACAAGCTGCCAGGAAGACGTTCAACATTTAAATGCCCTCTATTCAGATTTTGAATCTAGGTTTGAGGATATTTTGACTATGGTAATACCACCGTGGATAATTAATCCATATGGTGACATAGAAGAAACGAATGTCATAATACAAGAGGAACTGACTGAACTAAGTACAAACGAAGAACTTAAGGTTCAGTATAAAAGCGGATATCAGCAATTCTGGCTGCAAAACAACATACCGGTTACTTATCCTCTATTATGGAATATAGCGAGAAAATTTTTAATTTCCTTTCCATTGTCATACCTAGTGGAAAGGGGGTTAAGCGCTGTTACCAATCTCCTAACGAAAAAAAGAAACAGACTGGACATCATCAGCCGAGGAGATTTAAGATTACAAAATTAAGGCCAAATGTTGATAATTTATTATTAAAGCATCAGGTTCATCCTTCTCACTAAAAATATTGACTTATTGCTTGTGTTATTTTATTTATAGTTTATTTTATGTTTATTGGTGTCTGACCCGCATTGGGAATAAGTGCCCGCATTGATTTTTTTAAAGAACCCTTTATAGAAAATTTTTTTTTTAAATTATTCTGAAAATAGGTACACACTAAAATTCGTTAATTTTTTGCATATTCTTAGATAACTTAAACATATAAGAAGCGGATTTTAATCAAACTAACAGTGAAATTATTGTAGAACATACGTTTATGTTATAATTAATAAACGAACTCGCTTATTGTACTATTTTAAGTACAAAACTCTTTTTTTATTATTTGTCACTTTTTTTTTATTTTATCCCTCTTATTTTTTTTCAATGCGGGCACTTATTCCCAATGCGGGCACTTGTTGGTCAGACACCTGTTTATTTAATGTTACGTATATTTTACATAACAGATACGAAATTTTATTTTGAGTAGTTTTAATTTAAATTCAATTAATAAATGTATAAATTAACATGTGTTTTTACTTTAAGTTTTTAACACTAAACTTCACTACAGTTAGAAATTTACAGGAAATCAATATCAGGTAAGTAGGGGGTCTACCCAACACGGAAAAACATGGCAAGGGGTCTACGACACAAAAAAGTTTGGGGAACTCTGTATAGTCTATGTCTAACGCGCTAGTTAGTCCCAAAATGTTACTGCATACCACCATATTGTTTTCCTTCTGGATGCAATAAATTCCATTGTTGTAAGTGAGAGGCTAGTGTTTCTGCCTTTGCCTTCGACAGATCCAAATCCCTTATGATATCACTTGATTCACTGGATCACTGATGTCGATGGCTGGTCTAGGCCAAAAGGGCTTTTTACCTGGCACACTCTTGTTTAAGACAACAAGATTAACTAAATTTGGCTAATTTTATTCCGGATACATTTTGGCTGTTGATCAATGTAATGTTTCAAAGCACCTTTCAGCATTTATAGCAGGATGAACCTTTTTGCGCTGAGAAACGTTAATTGACGAGCAGTCTAACCACGACAGACAGAGACGTAAAATGTAATGGCGGCGTCGTGAAATGCTGTGCAAGAATGCCCGAACAACGTTTTTACACAGGAGCAGCCGCGCAAGCAGAAGCCTAAATAACAGACAGGGCTCAACAGCTGCTATGAGAAGCTTGAAGAAACTTTGTTAATCCGATTTTTGAACTGCGTAAGCTGAGTAAAACTGGAAAAAGCCTGCTCATGTAGATTATTCTACAATCTCGATACACTAAGGAGCGGTCGTATCAGGCAGTTCTGAATGTACGAAGTTCGACACGGATAGGATGGGAGGCCGAAGTGACGCGGGTCTGCCTGACAGGCACATCGCGACGTGGCATCATGGAGGAAATATCTGAGAAGCAAAGCCCATTTTCCTGGTATATAGGCTCCTTAGGCGAGTCAAGTGGCGTGTCTTCAATTCCCTTTCATCTGCTTCCTTTATCAGAACACTTGGAGAGTTAATTAACGTAAAGCTACCAGTTATATTCCAGGTTGTAGTTCTAAACGTTAACCCCTTTTTCAGATACTCTTTTATACGTTTATGCTAGCTTTCAGAATGTTTTTCAATCCGACAACTTTTTGGCCAAATCAGTTGAAATAAAATTCTATCAAATACTGTAGGTACTGTAGGATTATGTTTTTTGATGTTACACGACATACACATCACGAAAAACCATGTCACTCATTTCAAATTTCAAATTTTAGTCAGATGTATCAAACAGAATTTCCCCAGAATAAGAACAACATCACCCAGATCTGCAACTTTCTTAAAAATATCCCTCAAATCACATTTCTGTAGTCGAGGGAGTGGTGTAAAGGTTGGACTAGCTAACTAGTTGCAAGACCACGTGGGGGTAGGGGTATAAAATAAAAAACAATACTTATGTTTTTCCAACGAACTTGTTTCTTGAGCCACGATTGCGCATGAACGTAAAACGATACGCCCATTCGCTATCACTTCGTAACCTGGGAACTGGGAAATCGCAGACCCGTGGATCAACAAAAGATGAAAATTTGCTATAGAAGACTGGAGCTTTAAGATCCATGCAAATTAAAATATTTACTAATTAAAATTTAACTTAGGCAGATTGTGGTGTATGATTAATACAGTTTCCGCCCTGTTGGGTGTTAACCTGCTTTGTCTGGCATCATAAATGTTGCCTGTCTCAGAAAAAACTTGTTCACTCGCTACACTTTCACCAGGTGCCGACAAATGTATGGCAGCTAGTGGGAAAAGTTTGGCAAGTCGTAATTTATTATCATCCCAGCACTGGATAGGATTGTCAAATCTTGCAATCACTGTACATTGGGTATACGCATTGATTTCCTTGTCTAGTGTATTTACTGATCAATGCTACCGTCTTCGTTGGGAATTCCCAGATGTCCCTTCACCTGCAAAATGTTCATATATCTACCAAAACATCTTTCGTGAAGTATATATTATTCGTAAGTCCTCCGATCGGAAACTATCAAAATATTTCCAAAGAACGCTACCTTTCCTGATGTTTGACATCCTTGTGGAGTACTAAACCTAATGCAACTAACGCCGTTCAAGCAAATATTATGACTTGCATAGACGCGCTTGTGACCCACGTGCTTCGCCGAAGGTTACTGAACCGAAACACACCCGATGGCGCATGGAAAAAGATGAACGGCCGATAGGCCGATATGGCCGAAATAATGGCCTGCGATATATCGGTATCGGTGAAAATCCTATATCGGTCGACCTCTAAAAATGACACATCGAATTGAAATACAGAGCTACTAATATTATCAATTAGTTAATTGATCATTATATGAGCTGAACTGACTATTTGTTAAAAACTAAACGCTTTCATATTGACGTTTAGTTCCTTTTTGTAAGTTAACTATACCTGCAAATTTTTTCAGTAATTTGTACGTCCAGTATACTAGCAATTCCAGGAGCTAGTCGTAATATTGTTTCCAGGAAGACTTGAATTGAAAAATATATTTTTGTACCAGCGCAGCGTGCGGAAAGTACTCAGTTTATACACGGATATGCGTCCAAAAAGTAGTACTTTTCCGCACGCATATGCGGCTGCTGGAAGTGTACATCTGTGGCTGAAGGGTATATAACCGAATCGTTAGAAAATAGAAAGGATAATTCCATGAAAGTCCTGAAAAATAACTCACATTTCACGTTACAAAGCACAAGCAGCACAAGCAGTGCCACGCCGACGGCACTAGTTCTGCTTCGAGAACAAGTTTTCATAATCCAAGTAAGAGTTCTTTGACTTTTAATATTGATACTAATTATTATAAATTAATTAGTAATTCTGGATTTATTGTTGCCCTGCTAGAAAGTAATATATTTCTGCAGCGCGACGGCAGTTGTACGAACTATTTCTACCAGCCTGCTTAAAGTGTCACGCCATGCCGAAAAGTAAAATTGTCACTGGGGGTTAAATTCAATCATTGCTCATAATGTGTCATTGTCAACATAAAATGACACGACAATGTCTTCCCAATCTGAAATATCTTGGTTTCCAACAAAGCTACAACAGAAAAGTAATGCTGATAATGCGGAGGCTAGCAGCATCGAGGGCACACAAGAATTTTTTCAATTGCCATAAATCTATATTTACTGCATTACTTTTTTCACCCCAAAGACCTCCAGAATACAACTATGGTAATCATGAAAGTATGACCCTTTCTGGCTCCTACTCAGCCAATAACAACCTAACAACTAATGCTTATAAATCTTCTGCTGTTTTGTCCAAACTACAGAAGAGATGTAGTCTTTAAGTATACAGGGTGGCCACACACGTGACGTCATAAAAAAAAATTAGATTCCGCACATCGAGAGGAACCCAAATCACCCTCATATATATGGTCCGATTTTGTTTAGTTTAGGAGTTATGATTTTTTTTCGGATTTTTCGAGAATTTTTGAGTTCTGTGTTTATTTTTACCATAACTTCGTTAATAATTGTGATAAATGCCTGCTTTTTTCACGATTATGTAGCTAAGACCTAAGGCTTAACTATCATATAATCATTCAAGTCATGTAACTAATACTACTTTTTAATTTTTTTCAAAATCTTCGAACATAACAAAAAAGTAAAAAAGTGCAACAACTTTGAACGTTTATAAAAAATTGAAAAAACATGTTCTTACTATTCGTAAGTATCTTAAAAACTTCCTTATGGTATCAGCTATTTACCGTAAAAATTTCATCAACCTAGCTTTACTACATGCTACCGTAATTGTGGCTCAAATAGAACCGAACCCAAAATTGGATAACCCTCTGCTCAATAGAAATTGTTAGTTTCGGAAAAAAAATTGCAAAAACCACAAAAACACGTTTGATTTTTACTGAACAGCAGATTATTATTCATTTATGTTATTTACAAGAGGTTTTCAAAATGTCTGCCTCTAACAGAAATGCACAGTGTACACCTACGTATGAAATTTTGTTTTAAATCTCTAAATGCTTGTGTGTTGTTTTTCAACACATGTGTCGCTTCTTGAATTTTGTTCCTCAATGAATTTTCATTTGCACATTCTTGGGCGAATGTTATGTCTTTAACATATCCTCAAACAAAAAAATCTATGGGGTTGAGGTCAGGGGAGCGTGGAGGCCATCGTATCGGTCCGTTTCGTCCGATCCATCTGTCTGGGAACCTTTCGTTTAAGTAGTTTCGCACGATCGTTGCGTTGTGGCATGGTGCACCATCATTCTGGAACACCATGTTCCGTCTGGCTTCCAGGCTTGAATCTTCCAGCAATAATGGTAGGCTATTTTCAAGGAAGCTTTTGTAGGCTACCGAATCCAACCTTGACGGCAGTTCAAATGGACCGATAAATTCCATATTGAATATTCCTGACCACATGTTCACACTAAAACGGTGTTGAAATGTCGATGCATTATTATTATGGCGTTGCTCAAGGCAACGACG